CAGCTGTTTGGAGGCCACGTGAATTACCAAGGCGTTCTCCACTCAGGCCGCGACTGGAGATGACTTCATATTTTGGTGTACATGAAGGTGAATGGCGGCAGCCGGCTCCTGCTTATAGAGGAAGATCTTGGGTATCTTCCGCCCTGGTACTCATATCCACTTCCTCTGTCTGGGCTGCGAAAACTTCGCTCATATGTGACTCGGCCGGAATGACTTTTTTTTGCCCCCCCCCCTGTATAGAGAGAGTCCGCACAGTAGCATCCAACTTTTCCCGGTCAGAAGTGCGGGAAACGAGGCTGGAGTGTAGCGTTGTTTGAGTGCCGTCTTCCTACTACCTCCTCCTGGCTTATGCTACCCGCAGTATGTAGCTGCTGCGTCGATAGCACATTCGCTGCGAACACGAACTCAGAGGTAGAACAAGCAGAAGTAAGAGAGTGTAGAGAAATAACGAGTCTGGCAAGGGTTAGGAGTGTGGCTCGCCGTATGGCAGCTCGGTTGGAGTCGGGTGACGGCACCCAGGTATCGATACCCTCCACTCCTGTCCACGCTTCCTTTTAAGCGGAAAAAATGGTACGGTGATGGCTGCTGCTGCAAGTTCAGGTCGCACATAGTAAGGACTAGGATCCACAATGATTCTTCTTCGAGCTAGACATTGACTTTCTTTCTGGCAATGGCCGACCTGATTTCCAAGTGATGTACACTAAGAGCTTTTGCAGCCCGCGGTCTGAGACGAATTAGTATCCATTGGAATAAAGGAAGAGTTCCGAGGCGAGTGACACCCTTCTAGTGACGAGACAACTCCATTCTAAATCATCCGTTTTCTCTTCATAGCATAAGCTTTGGAGTGAGTGGGTGGCACTACACTTTGACTGAACTCCTGTTCAAAAACTCGAATGAACAAATCATCTAGCCTTAGCCGTGGTCTCGCTCCAGTGATCTATTGCACTCTATCGAATTGCCTGAGTAAACAAACAAAAGAAAAATTGATAAAATAACATTCGAAAATAGTCCAAGGTGCCCGGAATTCGCTGGGAAATCTACTGGAACTACTCACTTTACTGGACGTCATGATAAGGCGAAAAACATGTAAACCATACAGTGAGAGTGAGCTCCCTGATAAAACTGTGTTTTTTGACCTTGAATTTGTAATGGCGACTGCAGAAATTAGAACAAAAATAAGCCGTATATCAAAAACAATGTGCTCGCCAAGGTTGGCTAATGTGCTGTAACAGGCGGACGTCACAGAACATTTGTTCAGATTATCGTCAAGAACTGAATTGTCAAAGGAATGACCTCTAGCGGATTTGGTATAAAACAAGAGCCGCAGCAGTAACTATCATTCCTGCTGAGCATGAGGAATATCGTGCTAACGGCGCTCTTCGCTACAGCGTTCTGGTGAGTCCATTACTGTCACTTTTCCACAATCAAATAACATTTTTTTAGTTTGTGATTTCCTTTGAAAGAACTGAAGTCAGTGCCATACAGGAGTTATTCTAATTCCAGCCAGTACTCCACTGGTGGTGGAGGAGGAGGCGGCGGCGGTGGCGGCGGTGGAGGTGGCGGTGGAGGCGGTCGAGGTAGCTATAGCACCGGCGGCGGAGGTTACGGAGGTGGCGGCGGTGGAGGAGGAGCTAAAGGCTCCAGTCTTGGTGCCACAAGAGGCGCTTGTGCACCTGGAAGTAAGTCCATTTCATTGCGGAAAAAACCTTCTTCGACTGTCGCTAGCTTACCTTAATGCTCTATTTACAGGCCCGAACTGTGGCGGTGGTTCAACCAACTGCATTCCTGGAAGTAAGTAATATATTTCTGTTCAATATAGTCAGTATAAAATCGCACAGCGATCTTATTCCAATTTTGAGAATGCTACTCACGGTCGGTGTTGGCAGCAGAGTCTGCAAGTTAACAATTAGGCTTGCGTGTTAACAGATACTCCGTGTAGGGAACCAGTCCTTGATGAAATGGATTCGCCGTTTTGGGCCCCCTTACGAGAATTTTTCACCATTCTCCAAGCCTTTGATCTATTCCTTCAATAGCTTGGACCGAGCGCCAAAACTGAAAATAAGGCTGTGTTCCACTGCGAGAGCGCCGATGCTACACAAGCAGCTCATACTGCTTCACTTTGAAATTTTCAGGTCCCAACTGCCCCGGCGGCAGCGCTGTAGCTCCATGCTTCCATGGAAGTAAGTCATCCTGTCGACTTTGATATTAATAAGCGTTGGAAGGGGCGTAAAAATTATCAATTCATCATTGGAATAAGCGTCATAACGTAGTTCGTTCGTTGACATTTACAGTTGTTTCGCTACAATTATACGCCCAAACGTGTGTCGGCGCATAACACGAAAAGGAATAATTAATCAGTTAGTTCCAAAGTATTTGACTTGTAAATAGTCTAATTATCGCCACAGTAAGGGACTCACTGCCACAGATAGTTCTAAAGTGATCCCGATGAATTGTATTATCTCACTATAAAAAAATTGCAGGCCCCAACTGCGGTGGCGGCGTGAATCCAGCTCCATGCATACCTGGAAGTAAGCTGTACTATTATGTTCCTTACAATAATACTTGAGTGTGGAGATTGCTTGACTTCAATCCACAAAAATTTTTCCGTTCTGACCATCGGTACTATCTCGTGTAAATTACAGTCCCAAATTGTGGCGCGGTACAACCAACTGCATTCCCGGAAGTGAGTAATATTTATAAAAATTAAAAATATAAAAATGTAATTTAAAATTAATTAATTTGTAATTTATAAAAATTAAATTTATAAAAATGTTCAATATGAAAATAGCATGGCTTATATAAACCAACTATTACTTGCATTTCTTCGAGATGATACAATTATTTACGGCGGCAATTGTAGCTGGCCGCGCAGTGTAACAGATTCATAGGCTTCGGTGGAGATGAACCATCTCCTTTAGGCTGCGTTCATACTTCGCGGCAGCGTCCACCAGCGACCATCGCGTTTCGAGCGTTCGGCAGCGTCAACGAAGAAGTGGGATAGTCGATCCAGCCAGGCTTTATCAGGCCCACAGCAGCATCTGCCAGCGTACATCAGTCGTCCACTGCGACAGCCTCTCTTCCATACTCTCCATTCTTCTAGCGCTACTGGACTTAACCACACATTTTACTTTCGCCAGCCCTTGATACGCTGCTGGTCGTAGGTAATTACGCTGTAGAGCACCAGATCATTAGTGCTACAGCTTTCTTATTCGCTATGCTTGTAACGTGGGTGTGTTGTGGTCGCTGGTGAACGCTGAGGCAAAGTATGAACGCAGCCTCACGCCAGAACGGATATCCGCAGATCCTGAGAGCTTACTCACTCACGTTGAAGTTCTTCCCTGCTCTAGTAACTTAAATCTCTTTTGTGATGCACTGCGGACCCCGCTGCTACAATAGCGTCATCATATTGCTTCATTTTGAAATTTTACAGGTCCCAACTGCCCCACCCGCCTTGGTGCAGCTCCATGCATTCCCGGAAGTAAGCTATACTATTGAACTCCTAACAAAACTCAAGTGCTTTAGTTCACCTAGAAGGACTATTTTTTTACTATGATAGTGACTCCGTGCAAAATTGCAGGTCCGAACTGTGGGGGTGGTACAACCAACTGCATTCCTGGAAGTGCGTGATATTTCTACTCAGCGTATTCAATATGAAAATGGCATAGAATATAAATTTCCGCTGGTATTGGTATTCCACTTTCAGGATAGTGTAAACTAATTACGGCTCAGATCTAATAGAAGTCCACAGTCCAGTAGCTTGCGGGTTAAACAAGACTATAGGTCCAGGGAGTCAGGGTGTATACAGTACCCCGAAACTGCATGTGGATGTAAAAAGCTCCCGGCCGTAACCCACAGAATCGTGCATAGCATTTACGCATCCGGAAAAGCGACCCGCTGGATGGCCGGCACGCTGTGCCCACACGCGACCAGGATAGCGTGTCTAGCACGTCTTGGCTGAACCCACGATGTAATAGTATCGTTGTGTGCATTCACGGCCCGATACATTTGATTTCACGCGCAATCTTCGGGGATACTGTGTACACCGTACAATATCATGCGAGTTGAGAGATGCTCCGGTGGAGGTGAACCAACTCTTTTGAGCCAAAACGGATACTCGTACTTCGTGAGAATTTGATTACTCATCTCGAAGTTCTTTTCCGCCTCGAAAATTTGAAACTTTATACACTCTTTATTACTACATTTCAAAATTTAACAGGTCCAAAAACTGTCCTGGCGAGCAGCGCTGTACTCATGTAGAACGCTGGAAGTAACCTTCACTATCAACGGCTCTTTACAATTAGTACATTCTATTGTGTAGATGGCTCTATTTCATCTTTGAAAATTGATTTGTACCTTGAAATTGATTCCATTCAAAAATTTCAGGTCCCAACTGCCCCGGCGGCAGCGCTGTAGCTCCATGCTTCCCTGGAAGTGAGCTTTTTATTACGTTTCTTGTAAATGACTCAGCTTCAATGTCTAGCTTCGCTTGAACTTCATGCTTCGAATTTATTTGGACCCATGATATTGATTCCGTGCAAAATTTACAGGTCCCAACTGTCCCGGCCTTAGCGCTGTAGCTCCATGTATCCCCGGAAGTGAGCTTTACGTCACTCTCCTAGCAATTAAGCACCTTTTTATAAAATTAGTGTGCACTTTGATTCACTTCACATTTGAGATTCGTTCGGGGCTATGATATTAACTACGTGCAAATTACAGGTCCCAATTGCCCCGGCGGTAGCGCTGTTACTCCATGCTTCCCAGGAAGTAAGCCATCCTACTGTTTCTTATTAGTGGTATTGCATCGTACTGTATTATCTACTGCTCAAAAATTGTGAAATGATCGAGGTTTATCAGATCATTTCACTCTAAAATTACAGGCCCCAACTGCGGCGGCGGCATAAATCCAGCTCCATGTAGACCTGGAAGTAAGCTATATTACTGTGTTCCTTACAATAAGCATTCTTAAGTGTGTAGATTGCTTCATTTTAATCTTGAAGGACTGGCTTGGACCATTATATTCATTTCAAGCAAAAATTTTAGGCCCCAACTGTGGCGGCGGTACAACTAACTGCTTCCCCGGAAGTAAGTAATCGAATTGGTGTTCAATATTAATAGCAAAGAAATGGCATTGAATATCAAAACATATTTGAAATTTACAGGCCCCAACTGCCCCGGAGCAACTCCCCGTCTCGGAAGCAGCGGCGGCGGAGGCGGTGGCGGCGGCGGTGGTTGGCGGCGGTGGTGGTGGAGGAAGTGAGTGACAGCGGATTTTTTTTACAATTTACCTTACAGTCGCTAGAAAGTCAATTAACAATCTTGCAGGTTATGCGTTGCCACCAATTGATTACGTACCGCCAGCCCTACCATCTCGAACTGCACCAGCTGCACCACTGACACCACCACAAGCTACTTCACCCGTACGCCCGGGTGGTTATAGCACAGGAGGAGGAGGAGGCGGCGGTGGTGGTGGAGGCGGCGGTGGTGGTGGAGGTGGCGGTGGTGGAAGACCACCAAAACCAGCACCAAGACCTGGTGCTCCAGTGTCACCACCGCAATCTGCTCCAACTCAGAATGTAAGCCCTCCACGCCCTGTCGGAGAATACGGTTGCCTCGGAGGCAGGTGTGGAGGCGGAGGTGGATATGCAACAGGACCAGGACAAAATAATCCAATAGGTCCGACTGCACCAGTCTCTCCTCCAGAGTCACAACGTCTTAGCCCACCACCACCACCATGTAAGTCACTATTTACCATTTCAATGATGAACTCTTTAACAGAATTCTCATGCTTTAGCTGGCGGCTATGCTCGACCATACAGGAGTCGTTTCTTCGGCAAAGTCTAGTTGCAACGAAAAGTACGGACATGCGACGGGTCTTCAATGCCTAATCGTACTATATTTCGAAAGCAGTAATAAAGTTCAGTTCATCAAAATTTTGTTTATCGCCAAAGCCAGTTGAGTCACTCTTAGGACATCAGTCAGCGCCTCACAAGCGTAGGATACTATATCAGGGCAGTTGACTACCACAGACCTCACACACTTACACTTGGTTTTCATGTAGATATATTTTCTTTAGAAATTATAGTCGTCTTAGTATGTGGCATCCATGATCAAGTTAGATTAATTAGCTAGCAAATTGTCGCGAAAAAGGAACCCTTTTGATGGGCCTTTATTGATTGGGTCTATATCAGGGCGCAAGAAGGGATATGTCCAAGTACGTAGTTTCCGGATGGGCAATTGCTACACACTCGTATGGACTCCTCTTTGGTGATTTTCTGCCTCTGTCACGCGTGGAGTCGCCAGCAAAGTAGCAGCAAATATTCAGTCATGATCCCTGCAAACGAAAGGGCATGTGATGGGGTGCGGATTGAAGCGCTGCCAAAGGGGCGTTCCCACCAATGATGCTATCCTGAGTCGGCAACCGTTGGCGACAAGGGCTATGCTGGCTGCGGTCCGACTTCCCTTCACATACCCTCTCGTTTGCATGGATCATAACCATAAATATAGCTCCCTTCTTTGCTCTTCGGACTGTAGCCATGTTCCTGAAACAGCTGATCCTGCCCCTTCTGCAGTTAACCGCTCGCCATCGTGCGGTGCTTGGCTGCCTGATGCTACAAATTGTTTTGAACTCGGTTCTTCAAACTTGCCCTTGCCTCCGCCCTCTTCCTCAGGTAGCTTCCTATGGCTACCGCAACCTAGCGTAATCCAACTTTTATCCAATTTCATCCAAGCGAAGCTCTTCCTCGAAGCTGTCTTGAAGAGCCCATCGCATGCATATTGCACACTGTAAACCCTATTACATGCTCCGCCCCGGATAACCACGCCCCTTTTGCCACAACACCATTTACACCCATATTACGCACACATTATACACTATATTACTGCATCTATACCAGTTTTTCACACGTTTCATCTACTACACACATACATAATTGTGTACACCTCTTTGGTAGCACACTTGACTCCGCCCCCGACGACTCCGCCCTTTTTTCGAGTGTGAAAGGGAGTCCACTCATTCTGGGATCTCCTCGAAAAAGTCCTAGTCCCAGAAAAACTACAACTGCTTTAGCAGTCGTTGTCCTTACATGTTTGTGCGCTTTTAAGAACTCACACACGCACGCACACACACGCTGCTGTACGCCGCACGCACGCAACGCACGCACGCACGCACGTCACGCACACCGGCCAACATTACAAACTTCACAGTACCAGCTATATTCCCAACCAAGCCAGCTGTGCTTATTGTCTGCACCTCTCTCGTTCCGTTAGGGACTGTCGTTCTCTATAGATGACCACGATAGACAGCTTGCCATTCATGTTTTTCGCTACAGGAGCCCAGCATCGGGAACATGTGGGGGCCTCGGGTGGAGACCCAAATGGCATTCTCTTCTCACACACCACCGCACCCTCTCAAGCAAAAGTGGCACACATCCACAACTTGCACCCGCTAACCTCCCAAACGGCACGGATTCACCTTGCACTAATGTGCACGGTTTGTCTTTGAGCATTGCTGCAACCGTGTATTGTGCACTTGATATACAGTGTCCAGAATATCCACATCCCTTCAGCCGCGCCCATTTTTCATCCTTTCCTTTCATGTCTACATGGCGTTGTATGGTCGCTGTGACCTCACAGGCTCCAGTTTTCCAAGACATGAACGACTCACTCATCCCGGAGTTCCTGCAATTGAATCACTGGCCCATCACTTCATGGATGAAGTTCAAGATACCCGAGGCGCACAGGTTAGCAGTATTTTCTAGCCAGCTCACTTGACATACCTTAACATTGCCACGTTAAATTAAAGGCAGCTGGCACGATAATCTGGTGCTCGGCTTTAAATACTAGCAGGGATGATCAGGTACGGTCGTCCATTTGTGGGAGGACGTTCGTAATAGGTGTTCGGGTCGGACTGTTGCGGCTTGATAAGACTTTTTGAGGGTACTTGATTTGAGAAAAGCGCTACACAGCGCCTGTCCAGGGCTGCAGAATTCCGTCCTGCCAGGCGTATTAATCCTACTCGTCTCAGGGATTTATCGTGCCAACAGTCTTTAATGTAGGAAAAATCAACAATCGGAATACTTTCATTGAGGACAAGGTCAAATACATCCGATCGAGCCAGCGACCAAAAACGACCCTTTGTCGTCTGTGACTCTTAGGCGTACGCTTGACCCCGTTTGGCAGCCGCTGTACTCTGGCCGTTCACTCTGCAGGATCTCATGGCAGGACTATTCAGGAAAGATCGAGTAGTCACGCATCTCTGCTGTACCCTTCCCCTGAGCGAGTGACTGTTTCACCAGACGGCGTTATCGATGACGCTTATCACAGCAGTGAT